CCGTAGTCTCGGGACTCTGCGGCAATGCTTCATAAAGGTGAAGGCTTGCCAGCAGCTTTTGCAGATTGCGCCTTTTAACTTCTGAATGGCTCAGAGATTTAAATAGAAGATCTTGATAGTAGCGCTTTATGTGGAGCACTACGACAGTCTTGACTCGAGCCTGAACGTCTATAATATTGGCTTGACAGTCGTGAAAGCGGATATCATTCCGATGCAGCCATAGACACCGAAAAATCACTGCCCTTACAATGTGGAGAACCACAAAGAGGCTATAGCCATAGCGAGCCTTGGCCGCCGGTTTAGGCTCCAGCTTAAAAAATAAGACTGATTCCCATTCCAGTGTGCCAAGAAAAAAGGTTTGAAAATTGGTTATCCAGTCTGCCCAGACTTGTATGGCAAAATCACAGTACCAAAAAAGATGAGGGGCCGTTTCCAGAGCCTCGCACCCATGATGGCACATTGACTGAGTACCGGGTAGGTGTTGAAGCCGATAGCCAAAAAAGAGAGCGTTATGCTGGAGCCTGTATAGTAGATCGGAATAGACTGGCAGAACGTGCCTGCCCATTTTGAAATCCCTGACCCACATTGACTGTGGGGGACTGCTTGGAACGCCTAACCGGGATAGGGGCAACGCTGGCACCGTGAACTCAGCAAGTATTGAGCGTATGCGAGCCACGCTAAGTTCCGATACTTCATAGGTATCAAAAACCCAGGCGTGACTGGCGGCGTAGTAGCGCGAAGCCTGGCTGGGTCCAATTGGGTGGGGAGTCAAAGAGTTGAGAAGACCCCCTGCCTTGTCCATGAAATTGGAACAAGAGCGTTCGCTCACTAACCGACCCGAGCCAAATTGGCTTAGAAATCGTGAGAGGCTTGCAGCTGTCACCGGGGGCGGACAAACTTGAAAAAGCTGAGCTGGGCGAAAAATCCCTTGATCCGCAAGGACACGGATTAAGCCTAGCGGCCGTGAAGTCCCCGCCAAAGTGCTGCCCCGGTAGCCGTAGGTAATTTCCACATTATTTAACATGGGCGATGTTAGCTTGTCAAATTTAACTTGTAGCCGGGTGAGCTTTCGCCGAAACTGGGTGTGCCAAATGAAAAGCACATAGTGCCAGTAAGACCCAAGGGCCGCCCAACGCTTAGAACGCCGCGAAATTGCATAGTCCGGACTTGTAGTCACGGGTGCATACAGAATGTCGAAATCTTCCCCCCATGGCGATATAGCTTGATCAAACAGTCGAATGACCGGATCTGCCCAAGAAGGGAAGTTAAGCGTTAGTCTTCCTGCCAGTATCACTTTGCATAGCATATGCAGTTGAAGACTTCGAATCGTATCTGGAATGGGCGCCAAACCCAGTCCCCCTTTGCTTAAGGGAAGGAACCACCAGTCGCGGGGCAGGGCGTTTGATGTCTTGAATCGACACATAAAGCGCGATATAAG